ACGTATGTTATGGTTCATTCTCATTCTTTTTCATAGCACTGTCATCTCTAATTATTTGATGTTGTGCTGGGAACGTAACAATCTCCTAATCAATGGTGCCATCACTATGTGCTGTTCCTGTAGCCCTTCTTCTGCCTTTCTTCCAAGTGCTTCCACATCCAGATCTCTTGTTCCATTTATACCAATCCCATTGCTTCTTTTACAGTGTAAAGGAAGTTATGGCTTCTAGTGATAAAGTCATTATCCCCGGTAAAGCAATGAATTCTGGATCCAGTGCCATTTCATGAAGAAGAGAAAACAAATTCAAAAGCAATAAAAATTGATCTATCTTTTGTTCTCCTTTCAAAATTATTTCCTGCTTTATGAGAACAATGTTTCTTTGTAAAAATAATAGGAAGATTTAATAAACAATAAATATATCTCCAAAGAGAGTATAATTAGTGCATGAAATTCATTATTATCGAAGGTCATCTAGTCTTGGCAAGTATGTGATGTTAGGAACATTAACATCACTTGTAGTTATGTACCAGAAGATAAGAAGAATCAGACTTAATTCTTCAAGAGATAAGAAAGTCTTTCTTCTCACCACAAACATTATTTCACAATTAGCTGGGTATCACACATTTCCCTCCAGTCCTCCAATCTTCCTTTGAAGCCTATCAGCTCCTGAAGACAAACAGAGCCCAGGATCAGGGCTTGGTATGCCACAGAAAATGTTATTTACTTACTAAAGACAAAATTTATGATGCTATACATGTACTGAACCGAAAACAGAGCAAAGAAACAGTAGTGCTTGTAAATATTTCAGTGGTCTCCTGCATTCAAGACAGCACAGAAATGTTTCAGTCTGATCTGGACTTCACAAGGACTGGCAGATTTTGGATCTAAGTTCACTATCTAAGTTCACTGTCACACTATCTAAGTTCAGTGGTTAAAAAAGTCACAATATTTTTCTTTTTTATTTACCAGATGGATGAGCAAAGTGAAACAGCAGCTGCTTTCTTATCGCTCTGCATGTCTGTACAGGAAATACGGTGGGCAAATCTCATCTGATCCCAAGGAATGAATCACGTCAGTACATTTTTGTGTTCATGTGGTGAAGTGAAAGGGTTGGGAGTGGACAAGGAGGAGTGATTTCTGCACCCCTTTCCCACAAGAGTGCGACCCAGAAGTATGCTCTGTTTTTACAGTCAGATTTCAAATTTTTTCTTTGCTTGGTTTTTAATGGGATACTGGGAGTATAAGCAATGTTAGTTACTTGTATTGTTTAATCCCCGCAAAGGAGCCTCTGCCAATGTTTTCAACATCCAAATATTAACAATATCCTTTCTCTTCCTTCCTTCCCAGACAGTAGAAGAAATAGGCTTGGTCTATGTGGATGTGTGTGGGTGGGTGGAGGTGAAGCCAAAGGAAGCAATAGAGTTAGCTTTTAGCCCTGAACGCTTTGGTTACCTTTTTTTTCCCAATGAATTAAATATCCTTGGTCTGGCTTCTGTGAAATTCTGCTCTTCTGTGCTATGAATTTCCCGTTACCAGTAATATTTTTCTCAATGTTTCAGGCAAATACAGCTGTTCTGGGAAGTCCTGGCCAAACATGAAGAGTTGGTATTTGAGCTAAATAAATGATATTTCATGGAGAGTGCTATGTATTGGAGTTGAAGGCTTGAGCAGCAAGCAAAAGTGGAAAGTAATGACTTCGCATTGAACTGTGCTGCTGACCTCAAACATTCCTGTTTTTATATCCGGCTTGAGATTTTTCCAGGACACTGGGCTTCATTTTTAGGTCTGATGGATTACAAGAAGTGACTTCGAGGATCACAACTCCATAGACAATGGCTGTGAATTTATACCTGGTCTGAATCACAACAGATTGAAAATTAGTCGCCAACAGCAGACAGCAGCTAAAAAATTAGTCGCATACAGCAGCTAAAAAACCCAATCTGTCAATCAACTAACCAACTAACCAACAACCAAAGAAGCCTTACAGCTCACAAATTGGAAACCTCTTTTTATGAAAGTGGCTGATGGGGATACAAGCCCAGGTTCTGTAGAACACAGCAAGTGAAGGAAGATGATCATTTTACCTCTGGATTTGATCAGAGAGGAAAGTTCTGGGCCTTTTCATGGCATTTAACTTCAGTCCTAGTCCTTGACACTGGTCTACTGAGCAACCAGTCAGTTTGAATATGAGAATGTGTTCCACGTATGTTGCTGGGCAAACTCACTGAAAGTCATCATGTAGCACGGAAAAGGGAATTTCTAAAGTGATCTTGGTCTAAAACTTCGGAGGAAACATGAAAGAAAATAACTATGAGCTGGCATGGGGATCTTTGTCCTTCTCCATAGAAGACTGACACTACTTATAAACTTCAGGTGTTAGTTTCTAAAATACTCCTAAGACTGTGCATGGCGTATTTGCTTTGTTAGAATGAATGTCAATTAGAACCAGTAGGTATTTTCCCACTATAATCTTCTTTTTGCACAAAGCTGTAAAGCTGGTGACAAAATTCTTGTCAGGGAAAAGGTAGAAACTGATTTCAAAGATATGTATTCAAGTATTTTAAGCAAAAGAAAAACAAAGCTTACTTCTTATGAAATTACTCATTAATCCCTACGACTGAAATGGAAATTAATCATGTTGATTATTTTGAAATACTTTTTTTGTTTGTTTTCTATGAAACTAGATTTCTCTGGTTTATATGTACACCATTTCTTTTAATTTTTGAGAATTTTTAAATCTCGTTTTGAAATGTCTAAATTTGTGTTTTTCCCAGGTTGAACAACGGATTTTTGAACTAGCTGTAGGGTTAATATCGGGTAGTGGAGTGAGTTTGTTGCCAAAACTAGCACACACTCAGATACGGATATCAAGTTCTTTAAATGTCTGAAATGTGTTCCATTTATTTTTATTTCATACTCTTCTGACTAGCTTCTGTGTTTAAAAATCATCCCTCTTTCTAAAGCTCAGTGTCAGTATGCTAGTTTTCAGCACGATTTATTTCATGAGGTTGTTGACTTTAATTATATTGTGGATACTCAGACACTGTTACTTAGTGGCTGAATTATACTTGCTCCTTGGATCTATTCCTAGGCATTACTTAGGACTAAATGAAAAAGTAAAAATAAAGTCTTGTTTTCTCATGTGCTGTAGAACTAGTTGTTCCAAAAAGCACTTGTTTATCATGTTGAGAAATCACTAAGCCGTAGCCCATGTGGTGGCTGACTAACTTACATCCTGAAACATGGGAGTGAGCTTGGAAAGGGCTGCCCAGATCAGTGTGTTCAGTTCTTGGTACTCTGGGCATCCTGGGTTTGGAACTCACATTTGAAATGCCATGAATGCAATGGAGCTGGTGGAGTTTATTTCCCTGATGTAGTGCTCAGCAAGTGCCAAAGCCTTCCTAGAGGCAATCAGAGTGGCTTAAATAATTCTACCTTCCTAGTGCTTACTGCAGCACACTCATAGAAAACAAAGTCTATCTTTTCATTGAGCTCAATGAGCTGTTCCTTTACTTTCCTTCTCTATTTTCAAAACAGCCCTTTTTTCCTCTCCTTCTCTAGGAACTCTCAATCATCCCTTCCACTGATGTTCCCTTATCACTTTGTGTCATCAGCTAACCTCCTCAGCAAGTATTCCCTTTCTGAGCAGTCATTAATGAAAATATTCAGTTAAGACAATTCAAAGATGTACTCAAATGGCAGTTTCTCAACGTTTCTCCTTTCCACTGTTCAAACTTCTGTCCCATTTGTCTGCTTCCTTATCATCTCACAGTTTTGACTTAAATGCCTATCTTGTCTGATTTAACTAATAGAGTGCCAGATGGTACTGTGGCCAAAGCTATTCAGTATAGTTGAGAACAATCAGACCTTCTATGCCTCAGTTTCCCTCAGGGTGCTGTGTAGCACAGGGCTGAATATTCAGCAGTACCTGAGAGGCAGTAGAGGGAGCACAAAAGATGTTCTGCTCTTTCTACTGCTTTTCAGAGGTAGTTTGTGACAATGACTCCAATACCCTCAGGATATACAGGGAACATTTTACTCCTTCTCCCTTGTACTGGCAAGAATTAAATAAGAAGACAGAGCTCCAGCTCTCCTGACATTTCAGAGATCAGGGCAGAGCTTTCCTTCCTGCATCACCCTAATGCTTTGCAAGCTGTCTGTAGCAGTAATGGCATGATTCCAAACCAGGAATTTCCATGTCAGGTTTCTGTTCTCAGTCTCCGTCAGTCTCTTGCTTGTGCAAGGACACACATAATGTGGTATCATTGTGCCACAGACAGGTCTGAACTTTCCACAGTCAAAACTGGAGCCAGCAGTGTGCCCTCACAGCCCAGAAAGTCAACCGTGGATTGGGCTGCATCAAAAGTAGCATAGCCAGCAGGGTGAGGGTGGTGATCCTGCCCCTCTGCTCTGTGCTGGTAAGACCTCTCCTGAGCACAGTGTCCAGACACGGAGTCCTCAGCACAGGAGAGATATGGAGCTTGGCTGAGCTGGAGCACTGCTGGCATGGGTTCATGCATAGGCTTGGCATCCTGGTGTGGTGCACATGGGCACCTGACCTGAGTATCTTGGGTGTGTTTACAGAGCCAGGAACCCAGGACTCCAGTATCCCAACCCAGCCAGCACCCGTCGTGGGTTTTCCAATGGCTAGTCTAGTTCTGTTGTGGGTCTGGAGGAGGGGGCACCAGTTGCAAAAAGAGCATGAAAGGAAATGGGAGAAGGCCTCCTGCTCCCTACAGATCAACAAGTGCCCTAGCCAGCACCATGGTTTTGCTCAGGGTGGGCACAGAAAAGAGGGAGACTGAGCTTGTCCTTGGACCGCTGTTTATGGGTGCAGAAAGGCAGCCTGGGCTGTGCCTCCCTCACCCTCAGTGCCTGCTCTGGTTCCCTCCTCTTGCTATTGGCTTGAAGTTTTTATTTCCTGGCTGAGGGCTGAAGGTGTTTTGACTGAGAAGGTGGAAGCTTGAGGGTGGATCGAGAGTGGGAAACAGAAGGGGGAGGAGTCACTCATCAATGCTAATAAATAAAAGGCCCTTCTTTTTCCGTGCAGGGCCCAGGACGCTGGAAGAGCTGCCCCTTGGACGAGCTGCAGGCTGGCTGGAAAGAACGGCTCTGTGAGTATGCAGGGACTGCCTCGCTTTGCCTGGATGGCTGCTTGCTATAATGCCTTTCTGAGGCTTCACAGCTGCAAACTGCTAGGAGTGGTTGCTGTGTCTTGTGTAAAACTGTGGTTCTCCATTTCAGCAGGAAACGGGACAGAGGGCTGCTTTTCTGAATATCCTTTTTTGGGGGAACTGTGGAAATCCCTCAGGCATTTGCTGGCGGTTCATCTCACCTTCTCTTTCTGTAGTTCTAACCAGTGGATGCTACTAGAAAGAAAGGAGATTTGGCTCACTGTGCCACACCATGTACTACATGTGGGGCAGCTCAGTGATGCTGGGGAGGGGTGGTGTGTGCTGGAAAATCCAGGGTGCAGGCAGAGTGAACAGGAGATCATTCTTTCCAGGGTAAAATGCTCCCTGAAGTCAAGTTTTTGGTATAGAGCCAGAATGTTCATTGATCCCTTGGAAAATGCATTGCTTTTATGGAGAAAAATTAAACATTTGAGTTAAAGGATGTTTGCAGCATTTCTCCTGCGGAGATTGCATGAGATACTCCAGGGATCTGTGAGATTCTGAAATTGTAGTGGAGTATTCCAGAGAGTAGAGGGCTCTGCCCTGAGTGAAGATAGGTAAATAAAGACAGTTTGGCTGAAAAGTCTGTTGGAGTTTCCCAGTGTGTAGCATCACTTTCATTCCGAAGTACTCTCAGTACCTTCTTCCCTGTGCCCCACAGTTCTCCTGCTAGGTTCTGTCCCTCAAGCCTACATTTCTTGGCAGTTCGCAGAGCTGACAGGCTGTACAGAACATTCAGGAAACCTACAAAATCCACATTCAGCACTAACTCAAAAACTCCGGGCTCCAAGGAATGCAAACAATCCTAGAGCAGAGAATTCCCTTAAAGAGACCAGAGTGGCGGGGCACAGGGACAGAAGACAAGTCTCAGTTCTCCTAGAGTGGATTTCTTTTGGGCACAGCCTGGTTTTCACCCTGATTTTAGGCTGAGCACCGAATGGACATGATGTGGATAATATAGAAGGTGCTGATGGTGGGGGACTGAGCTGCACTTTGCAGCTTGCATAGTCCCGGCCCCACCGCTGCCATGGGAATGCTGGCAGTCACTGAGTATCCACTTGTCCTCACTGCCTTGCCTCTGGTAACCACTCCCCTTTTCTTTTCATCCAACAGCCATCTCTGTAAAAACTACCCTCCCCACCCCTTCCCATTTAATTCCCTCTTATTGTACCACAGAGCTGGAAAGTCAAATTGCCACCTTATGTCCATCACTGCTGCCCATAACATTGGTCCCAGACATGCTCCTTTGGTGCTAGCAGGTGAAGTAATGCTCCCAGAGACTGCTGGCCTGGGAGACAAGTCCTGCCTGAAAAGCATTCCACTGGCCACCCAGAGGGGTGATGGATGCCCTATCCCTGGAGACATTCAAGGTCAGGCTGGAGGGGCACTGAGCACCTGGATTTAGCTAGTGTCCCTGTTCATTGCAGGGGGAGTTGGACCGGATGGCTTTTAAAAGTCCCTTCTAACTTAATCAATCCTATGATTCTATGACTTCTGAATTTGTTATCCAGTGGGACAAAGGCTGCTCTGCTGGTGACAGCAGTCCTGAAACACATCTCCTTTCAGAAAGATGTTGACCCTTGGGCTAGAAGAGCAGTGCAGGATCACGGTGAAGAGCGCTGAGACAGCACTTTAGGTGCTGCTGTTGTCTCAAATATCACGGTCCTTTCAGCAGAAGGAATCCTTCTGTATCATTGCTTGCAGTGCTGACTTCTTGCTCCAGCATCCTTCAGGCTGGGAGGGCATTTGGACCTGGAGGAACGGGCAGCTCAATGTAGGGGAAGTGCCTGGTGCCTTATTCCCTACATCTCCCCCAGCAGAGCTGCCAGGACAGTCTGGGCCCTATTTATCCAGACAGAGGATGGCGAGGGCAAAGAGAGTGGATCAAAAGTAAAATATGAAAGACAAACATGTACATTTGGGATCAGCACACACCTCTCCCTGAGGGCCCCTGGCAGCCCCTGGAATTCCTTCCACTTGCGGCTGGTTCCTGAGTGTGGAGTGCTGGGACATGCTTGCCTGTGAATTATGGCATCTGTCCCTAAACCAAGAGAGGAAGAGGTATGCTCCCTCCTTACTGAAGCCTGACTCAATCTGCTAATAGAAGCTGTGTTGTAATGGCTCCATATAGCATGCGTACCAACCAGCAGTTGCCTTCCTCAGGTTCTTTCATCCCTCCTGGATCTGTTTTCATAATAAACATTCCACTGTTAATTTTGCAGGAAGACTCTATCTGCCTTCAGTGGGAAGAGAGTGAGGCACAGCAAGAGACAGAGTGAGAGAGTCCTTGCACAATGCGTGCTCTCGTCGTCCTTGTGCTCCTGGCCGTCTTGGTCATGGCTGCTACTTGCTATGGTAGGTAAGCTTCTTTTACTGGGTGGAGAAATGACTCCAAACATCTTTGGTTCTGTTCTGATGTGTTACATTCACCTTTAACCCTGCAGATGTGTTCTTCTGGTCTAAAAAACTGTGAATTTCATGTGACTTACACATGTTGTACTCTTTCTTTCCCCAGAGTCCCATGAGAGCATGGAATCCCATGAGTATCTCAGTAAGACTGCTTTACTATTTTCTTGAATTCAAAGTGCACCACAGACATCTCCAAGGCCATTTCCTTGTACTTTACTGTAGGGATTAAATAGACAGAACCTCTCAGTCCAGGGATACTAAATTTAATGGGTTACAGAGTGTCAGGATAAACAGGAAGAAGATTAAAATGGAGTTCACATGTTTGGGCACAATTGCAACTGCTGTGCTTTGCAATGAATATAATAAAAACTGGAAAACACAGAGACATGAGTTTAGATCCCTGTTGCACGTACTTAAATCAGGTTGAATGGTACCAGAAAAGGATATTGCTCAAAAAGCTCAGGAGGGTAATGCAGAAGCCAGTAATATGGGTTGATCCTATGCAAGGATGGGAAGAACACAACTCTCTGCACCTTGGAAGAAGCAGGTGGGATGTGTGGGCAGGAGGGATCCTTGTTCTGGAAGAAGGAGTTAGTGTCACAGGAGAAGCATGTGAGGGTGGAGAGTCACTTAGGAACGAGCAGAGAGTTCAAAGCTAAAAAGAAACTGAACCATCTGGGAGAATGACTTCACAAAGCAGCTAGTCAGAAACACAAGTGGGAGCCAAAGCCTAAGACTCCTCCATGCTACAATAGGACTGTGCTGTTCCTCAGCAAGGACAGAAGGCACTTTCAGGCCCCTCACTTCAAAATTTCCGCAGAGACCTTTGCACTGTGATTGCCTAACCTTGGAGGCAGATAAACTTGTTCAGGCCCTTCCTGTTTTCCATCATAGCTTCACAATCCTGCTAATTCTGCTGTGTGTGCCCAGACCTCCCCTTGGTCTGTGCCACTTGGCACCTATCTCTTGTCCCAGCTCCACCCAGTCAGAGGGGGCTATGGCAGCAGCTTTCCCCAGGGTGGCTTGAGTAACAAGAGAACAAAAGCAGCGTGTGTGCTTCCATAGAGATTGCATTTGCAGAGGGAGAGCTTGTCAATGAGCCAGCAGGGCAGGCAGGAGAGAATATTAGAAGGTCCATGGTCTCACTGTGTGTGGGAGGGCAGACAAGGAGACGGTCACAAATGCAGGAGAGGCCTTTGTGAAAATCAGGTCTTGCTAAAAGTATTTATCTACTCTGAACCACCTCTCGCCTTCTCCAGACCCCTTCCTTAACAGGCAAAGGGCCAATGGCTTCATACGAGATGACACAGGACTAAGAGCTGTTCTTCAGGAGAGGTACGTTATGGCATCAGAACACTGAGGGTGGGAGCATGGAGAGATACCTCTTTGCCAGTGATAGGCTAGTACCAGAGGAGAAGCCACAGTGACTCCTCAGAAGCCTTAGTCCCCCTTTCTGCTTGAGCCAACCCTGGGAGAATGAACCATAGAATCATTAAGGTTGTAAAAGATCACTGGGGTAATCTAGGCCAACCATCAGCCCATCCCCAACATGCCCACTAACCATGTCCCTCAGTACTACATCTGTATTGTTCCTGAACACCTCTCAGAAAGCAGAGTGGGTCCGTGCATTCAAGGGCATGTTCTGCACTGAAGGAGTTCTTTTTAAATTTGTCTGAAGGAAGGAGTAGCAAAAGGAGAAGGAATCAGTGTGGGCCAGCCAGAAGGGAAGCTCAGTTTGAGATCTTGTTCCAGTCCTCAAGACTTGTGCATTATTTGCATAAATTCTTCTAAGTTGCAAAGCCTTTGGTGAGCTTCTTTTCCTCATCTGTAGAACGCAGATACAGGCTGTTTTACATCTTATGCAGGGCTTGTGAAAATAAGGGCTGAGGCACAGAAGGGAAACCCTATCATCAGTCTCAGATAGCCCTTAGCAGGAAGCTTCTTGCTCTCCTCTTTTCATGTGTGGGGTTAGGGAAGAGCAGAGAAGAGCTGGAGGGGTCAGACTGGGAGTCTACTCCTGCAGCAATGGGCCGAGACAGGAGCCAGCCTCTTATCCCCACTACCCTGCTTAGCCATGAAGTGAAAGGTTACCTAGGGAGGCAACCAAACCTGCTGTAGTCAAGCTGACACCCTGAGTACGGTGAACACTGTAATGCCATGGTCTTGGTGGTAGAGGCTGGGATGGACCCTTAGACCGGGTAAGGCAGAAAAGGGCCATAGACAGATATTTAAGATAACACCCCTAATTTTTTTTTTTTTTTTTTTTTTTGCAGGATCAGGGAACGTAATAAGGCACCTCAGGAACGTCAGAGGGAGATCTGTGAGGACTTCTACCTGTGTGAACAGTATGCTCTTAACCATGGCTATCCTGCTGCTTACAGGCACTATTTTGGGAGGAGGAGGAATAAGTAAAGATGATCTGTCCCCACCCTGGGGCTTGGACCTCAGGGTAACCTCCTAGGAAAAGCAATAGCTCTGAAACATATTCAGTTGCTTGTGTCCCTGTATGTTATCCTGCCTGCTGCTTCTCTCCCATGTAGCCATGGATTCCTACATTGTGTTAATTAGCGCTGAGCTGATGTAGTAGAGATCAGAGAGAGTTCAGGATGTGGGTGTTTGCTGCACAATAAACTGCTGGTTTGACACTATCATCTCATGACTCACAGTATTTTAGGGGATGACTTTTCATGAAGAAGCTGAGTTTCTTTATCATAGAACCTGGTGCAGATAATGGAAACAAGTCCTTATCACACAATCACATGAGGTTTAAAAGAATGTACAATTGTTTTGCTCCGGGGCCTACAGCTGACTTATTTTAGACATCACTGGCAAATTTCAGTTCCCAGCCTTAGGACATTTTAAAATGGTCTGGTGTTCAGAAGGCATGGTGAGCTGCACTTTTTGAAAACAAAATCTCTTCGAGATTTCCTCACTTGGATAAACAACATCCAAGTGTCTGATTAATCCTAAAGACAAAGTTGGTATGAAAACTAGTGACAGAAAAATACCTGCCAATGGCACCTTGTTCTCCCAGACACCCTTCGATCCTGGTGTATGGTGCTTCTGCAGAAAGGAGCACGTGGCCCAGATTTTATTCATATTTTCATTAGGAGTGCTGTTTTATCTCCTTTCTTCCAGAAAACTTTAGCGTTAGCCTTTTACTTTGAAATATTATATGGAAATTATTATTTTTTATTTCTTCAGATAAAACCAAGAATGCAGACATAAATTCTCCTTGTTGACACAGAAAATCAGTTTGAATTGTAGAATCATTAGGGTTGGAAAGACCAGGATTATTGAGTCCAATTATCAACCCATGCCTGTGACTGCACTAGACCATTTCTCTCAGTGTGACATCTGCACTGTTCTTGAACACCTTCAGAAACAGTTGTTTCAACACCTCCCAGGGCAGCCTGTTCCAGTGCATCACCGCTCTTTCGAGGAAGTTTTTACTGATATCCAATCTGAACCTCCCCTGGTGCAGCTTAAGGCCATTCCCTCTTGTCCTATTGCTGTTACCTGGGAGAAGAGGCCAACACCACCTCTCTACCACCTCCCTTCAGATTGTTGTAGAGAGTGATAAGGCCTTTCCTGAGCCTCCTCTTCTCCAGACTGAATAACCCCAGTTCCCTTAGCCACTCTTCATAAGACTTGTGCTCCAGATTCTTAGCAGCTTCATTGCCGTACTCTGGACATTCTCCACTGCCTTGATATATTTCTTGTAGAAAGGGGCCCAAAATTGAACACTGTATTCCCTTGTACTTTTTGTTTCCTCTTGTGTCTCTCTGAACCCATGAGGGCGAGGATAGCTGGGAGTCAAATCATTCTGTGAAAAGGCAAGGGACAAACGAGAGATTCAGATCTGAGGAGCAAGGAGCAAGTCCTGTCCTGTGTGGTGAGGAGGTCATACGATGGGCCTCTGGGAGTTGCAAGTGACTGAAGGAGGCAGTGGGTCTCCTTCTTGGTAGTCACTCTCTCTGTCACCCAGTGGCACCAGGGACAACAGCCAGAACAACAGACAGCAACAGACAACAGCTCCCACCCATCTGTTCTGCTCACTCTGTGTGGGAGGCAGCAGGATGCAGCCACAGCTCTTTGGATACCCATCAGTGTGGGGTGTGCAGGTGTAAAATCCTCAATCTCAGCTCAGCACAGCTTGTTTCATTTTGCACATCTTCAGGTTTCCCCAGTGACCTGCAAATTAGAGAAATGGGAAATATTACAGCACACTGTCAAAGTCTATAAGGTATGAAGTATCAAATTGTTGAATATTCTATGAAATTAAATGTAGAGCCAAATCTACCTTCCAGAGTGGAAACATACATCTTTTTAGAAATATGCTTTGTGGTTTCGCCAACTTGGCAGATGAATCTTTGGGAAGAAAACAGATTTATTTATTGAAAACACTTCTGATAGGAAACTCCACCCTGACAGTTGCTGAGGTTTTGTCCAAAGGAAAAAGTGAGAGAGAAATGAGTGTTGTGAAAAAACACCGTTCAGATTAGGTATATTTGCACTCTCATTTGTTCTGCATGTTCCTAAGGAGCTGAGTATTAAGATCACCAAAGTCAACAAGTCTGTAGTGTTTGGGTTTGTCTTGACACCGTGACACCACCAAAACAGAATGCATGGGGCTATTGCTGTCTGGGTCTGCGTCCAAAAATATCTAGCACTTCCAACCTCCAGTTTACCTGAATAAATAATGAATAATATCAGTTTTCAGAGGGTTTTCATTAATGTAAATGATAATCAAACATGCTTGAGAGACTAAATACAGGTTAAAAAGCTTCGAAAAAGCTAGGAAGAAAGGTTAGGCTGTTTGCATGATTACAATTGTGTATTTATACTCTTTCAAGCTTTCTTTTGCTTATCCTTTCCTAAGATACCTATTGCTGTTGATATTTATTTATTTTTAAACTGTTGCTCTGCAAGACACTTCTTCTGGATGTCGTTAGTATATATATATTCAGTCTGTCCTGGACTGCAGAAAAGCTACACATAATTTTTAATCCTGAAATTTCTCTGATTTCTATGTAAGATGAAAGACTGTTTATAATGATCAGCAGAATCTCCAGTGGAGGTGACTGCCCTTGGGAGCCTTTTAGTTATGTAACTCTGTGTGCGGGGCTGTGGAGGACCAGACACGAGGTGAAGGAAGATGTGATCCATGTGCTGTGTGGGATGTAGCTTTGGGAACTTGGCTGGCATAGTAGAATATGGGAATATGGGTTATTGGTAGAAAAAAAGCATCTCAGTAGAGGAGGAAGAGGAGGTTTTGATATATTGTGTGTGTGCAGGAGCACTGTCTGTTGTCTGACTTTGAATAAATGTCATTCAGCCATAAGCTGAAATGTCACCATAGTGCAGGCCATACCTGATGACAATTCAGCATTTAATACAGAGCTACGATACTCACTAAAATTCTGCTGAACTGGAGAGACAAAAAAACAGCCTGAGGTTATTTCAAATACATGGTTGGTTGGTTGATGGATTGTATTGTTGGTTGGCTATCAGTACTACAAGCAGTGCAGGCTCTGGATGCTCCTCAATGGATCTGAGCAGGTACAGCAGGGATACTTCCACACACACGGGGCTTTGCAAACAACATCACTGCTTGGGGAACATGCTGACATGAGCTGTCAGGAGCACAGTCCTTGCTTTGGGTCAGCGCCTGGCAAGTGCCTGTTCCCAGCACGCGCCTCTTGATGTACCAAGTAACCATAGTCACCCAAGTTCTGAAGAGTAAAACACCTCTGGAGTCTTGAGGCTTATTTGATGTTGAGACAAGAGAAGCCAAGGCATTCGCCACCAAATTGGGAAGGTTTCCAGGAAGAAAAAAGAAAGGTTCCACCTCACTACCTATCAAAGATCCCAATACTATAAACATCTCAAATCTCTTCAAAGGTTTGTTGAAACTGTCTGAAGTGAAAACCTACTGTATATTTGCCCTATGAAAAACATTTTATGGGTACCTTTTCCTTTAGAGGTATGAGTGTGGTTGGGGAAAAAGGTCACCGTCAGGTTCAGACTCATTTTCCACATGGGAGAGTCCCATCACACCAAAGCATCTGCTTCACTTCTGGATGTGCTGGTCTCTCTTCTGGCTTTCCTTCAGGAAGCTGAATCACTTCTATGTTTACAATAAAAGTGATTTTTTATCCAGTTGTTTTTCTTCAACAAACCTATTCAAAATATCAGATAAAATCTTCTGGAAAAGCCATGAGTCCCAAGATGGATGTCCAAATGGCTGCCAGGACCCAATGTTTTGTGGCCCGAAGGACAGGCTTTGTTTTGGAGCTCAGACTCAGGAACACAAGCCAGAGCCCTGATCTCTCCAGGCAATTACAGGATATAAAACGATGCTCAAAAGCAGACTCCAGAGTGCCTCAGTAGCCTCCAAGAACACTCTGAGTGTAGGGAGAGCAGCAAAGGCAAAGCAGACATGAGGAAGCTACTGACACCAATGATCTTGACTCTGGCCCTGGCAGTGCACTGCTGCTGTGAGAAAGGTAAGGAAAGCGGACATCTTCCTTGAAAACACTGGGAGGCTGTACCATAGTAGTAAATCAGAGGGATTTGGGGATAGACAGCCTTATCTGCTACTGGGTTCTTTCTTCCGTTGGTCAAAAACATAAGCATTTCCATCTCTGAACTGCAGCAGAGAATTCCAACATTTTGACATACTGAAGCATGAAACCAATTTGGCAATTAGGTGAACTGACAAAGGCATGCTGGGTCTTCAATTTTGGGTCATCAGGGTGAGTTGCAGGGCAGAGCTGTGTCGAGAACAGGAGACTTTATTCCTGCCAGCACTGAAGTGTTGTAAAATAGCAGAGATATGCTCTGAGTCAAGTCTTCACCTGCTGAAAAATGTGGAATGGGGAGAACTCTGGAGGGGAAAAAAAACACCTATTGATATTTAGAAAAAGAATGGGAGTAGTCCCATTGAATAAGAGCACATCACATTTGAAGAGGATTTAGGCATGGTGACATTGTGATCAAGAGAGATCAATGCAGTGTTTAGCACAAGAGTTCATGGAGAGGGAAGGGTGGGAAGATGAGAAACAGCAAGTGTTTCTGCTGCAGGAAAAGAGAAGCCAAGTAGGAAGGGGCCCTGTCTGCCTGTATTATCTCATTCAGTGTTGAGTTTCTGCATCAGACGTGTCATGATTCAGTACTGGCAAATATATTTTGTTTGATCTGTGTTTTTCTTCTGTCAGTCTCTTGCTCACTTTCTCACTGCTGAGTGTATCTCTGCTTTTTTTGTTAGTTGTTACTACGTTCCAGATTGTTTAACAGCCTTGGAGTAACTTCTAATTTTTATTTTTATTTTTGAAATCCAAGGAATGTATGCATTGCTTAAAAATAGAACTACAAACAACTCTTCTCACACAAAGTCTTTGTTTAAGTACAGTTTTGTTTAGCTTGTTGGTTGTTTCTTGTTGTTGTTGTTTTTTGGTGGTTTTTTTTTGGTCTCCACAGCTCTTTCTCTGCCTGTAAGCACACTCATGCCAAATACCTGATGAAATAGTGGGATAAAAAACTTGTGAACTTGTCCTGTGTGGGAAAACCAAGATGAAAAGGAGACCTACTATGTGTGTTAGAAGAAAATTTGTTTGGATGCTTGCAGGGGATATTAAGGATTAGGATT